TTAGTTTTTAAGATCGTGCATTACTTTTTTCGATTTTATCGATTTTTTTGCAAAGTTTGAGCTACGGGGCTGGGATTTGGCACAGGGATGGGGGGTAATCGAGCATGCTGATCACCCCCGTGGCGGTGATCAGCATGCTCGATTACACCCCTCTGCCAAATTTCAGCCCCCTAGCTCAAATTTTGCAAAAAATCGATAAAATCGATAAAATTAATGCACGGTTTCGAAAACTAATATCGTATTCGTAATCAGCACGCTCGATTATCCCCTGTGCCAAATCCCAGCCCTCTAGCCCAAATTTCGCAAAAAATTGATAAAATCGACATCGATCGATAACGAAAAGTGGGCTGTGACACCCGCCGGGGCCGGAAGTGTATGTGTGCCAAGTTTGGTCCGGATCGGTTAAGAAATGGAATTTTCTATTCGGAACATACGGCGGAGCCGGGTAAGCCAGCTTAATCAAATAAATTTTGATCGAATTAGCACAATGAAGGACTCCATGCAGTGGGCAACTTGGACAACAAACGATGGGCTGGTATAGCAGTCAAAATTGTGACCCTGTCATGTAGTTATTCGATTATACGAAATTGTCGAATAATCGAATAACTTCTGAAATAAATATTCGAATGTTCGAATATTTTCGAAATTCAAATTTTTTGAACAACCGAATAATCGAATAAATACGAAATTGCCAATTTTCGAATAAGCGAATATCGAATATATTCGAGATTTTGAAAATTTCGAAAAATCGAATTTTGAATAAAATTTATTCGAATACTATTCGAATACTCGAATATTTATTCGATTGGGTCCAAAGTATAGTAGGTAGAGCAGTATCGACGTACACACATACTCTCGATACAACCATTACTCTGGTAACCTTCACTTTGAGCGCAGCGATAGAATAGCACCTTCACCTGGAAAAAATAGAAGGCCATCCGGGGCTTCGCCCCGGATGGCCTTCTTTTTCTTATCGAGAGTATGTGTGTACTTCGATACTGCTCCACCGGATGTTATAATTCTGACTATATCGGAATGAATGTGGATGAAGATATAGGGAATAATATCTTCAGATTATCTCAGCGAAACCGAGAATTTGCGTTTTTATAGCCTTTTTCAATGAATGTTTCTGCGAACGTTTCTCCAAAAATCAGTAAAACATTTCTCATTTAATCTCTGAGTTTCAGAAGTTTAGGGAAGCTGTTGGAGTTGATTAAAAACGCGAAACTGTGCTTAAATCTCGCACTGAGGGATGGGCACGAAAACCTGGTTTATCTCGTTGATGAATAATTTTCAACGCTGGAGCGTTGTTAGTGCTCCTAGTCATGTCATGACGATCAAAATGATATACAGGCTGTACCAACCAGCATCGGTCATGCGACGTCGCCCTGCAGCAACTTGCGACGGCGCGATGTGACGCGTGCGAGCTTTGCTACGCGTTAAGGCACGTCGCATGCGAGGTGCGGCCTCGCAAGGCAAACCAGCGCGGAGCCGATGCTAGCTGATACGTCCTATACAATGTTGCAGTGTTTCGTTGAGATCTATGACCAGAGCCAAACGACCACTTGGCTCTGGTCTGTCTCCGCGCGCTGCGCTCTACCTCGCTATCCCAAACGCGGGGCGCGAGGGCATTTGGCTCTGGTACCCTTTTCTGCGATGTTTCGAATCCAATTTTAGCAAGCTATATATTATTTTGTAGCTCTTGATCTCTACTTTCACGCTGATAGAATCCCAACACCATATTTTTTGTTTTGAACGAGAAATCCGTCAAAAACCTTGTTTTCAAAAACTTCTTGTTATTCTCCCAGTTTACTTCTTTTCACGCAGTTCTACATTCTATATTGCTTCTGTTCACAATGTAGACAACGACCCAACGCTTACCTCTTCGACTGTGGTGGAATTTTTTTTATGAGAAATCGTAAAAAGTGCATTTTTCTTCAGTTTGTTTTGTTTCGATGCTTTCGCAGCGACCTTTTTCCAGCTTGGACGACTGTTGCTCAGAAAAATAAGCGCAACATTTTAGACAACGCCCCAGAAAACGGGAACCACAATCCGGAGGTGGAAATTTGAATGACGCACCAAAAATAGGTTGGCTTTGACGCGCATTTCAACTTGGTAAGAACAAAACTCTGCGTTTTTAAAAGTAATTTCTTGTTTATCTTTTCTTCATAATCGGCTTCCGGAACATGGTTGGTTTTGGATTAAACATAAAGAATAACGAGCTTTTCTCGTTTCCCCGTGTGTTGTGGATTGCGTGGTCCTAGAGCGAAAACGCCGCCATATGAAAGATTTTAGACTTTTTGCAGCGTTTTCATCCGATTTTCAATTTATCTTGCTTTTATTAACTGTTCTGCATCTTTTTTTCTTCTCTGGTTTTATATGAACAACCTTCACTTTTTATGAGGGACAGATAATCAAACAACCTTCAGTTTTGAGGTCCTTCTCTAGACTATCGAAGGTATGCGTACACGGGTGGCAGTTTTTGATGGGTTGTCAGATGTCACGATTTTTCGCGGAGCGACGCCGCAACGCGACGTCAGGCAGTACAAGTCTAAGCTTTAGTCAGTACTCCTGTCGCAATGTTATTTATGCCATTGAGTCATGTATCTGTCGCCACCACCCGCCCTCCCCCCCCCCCTACTCTGGCGCCGTGTGGCGACTCGGTGGGCTCACGGCACCTAGATATTACCCGAGGCCTGATGCTCGCCAGATACTAAACGACGTACCTAGCCTACTGCGCACTAACGCGTGACCGAAAGAACGTTAAATAGATTATGTGGATTATCCTTATGACAATACACTACAATTAAAAAATAGACAAAAATATCAAGCTAAAAACAAATTACTACACTATTGCTAAAGAAACACGGGATGAGGGCCAGTCCCGTGCTACCGATGCGCGTCTGTGGAAGTAATCTAGAATACAAGTGGCTCCCAAGGTTTCGCGCAACAAATCCACTGCGTAACGCCAAGGTGTAGACGACGGCACGTCCTCTCCAGCTCCTGTAGATGATTTCCGGTTAGTACTAGGCGCGTCTGAATGCGCTACCAAGAAGAATCCATTTTTTAATCCAAAGAACTTCCGGCTCAACTGCTCTTACAAGAAAGGACAGGAGCATGGCGGCTGAAACGTAATTCGAACAAGATATCCAAAATCAAATAATAAGACGAAGGCGAACAAAGCACCCAAGTGAGGCGCCGCCGCTTTATATAGCCGCCTGGCTGGTAACGAGCCAATAAAGGAGAGGACCGGAGACGATCGCGGCAACACGCATCTCGGCTACCGTAATCGTCGCCGGATAGCACGGCAACCGATGCCCCCGGCCTCCATACTTCGAGGAGCGCCTTGCATCGCGAGACGCGACACTTCCCCCCCCCCCCCCCCCCGAAGCAGTGGCTTGAGCGTTCGAATGGTGATTACGTGATGACACCGGGGATTTGCGGTTACTACCTTTGCCTGAAATTTTAGATGGTAAAAAGTAAAAGAAAGTACCCATCAGTAGCACAGTAGGCGCGCGCGAGAAATACGGAGATTCATGAATCACCCTCTCCCGTGAGAACACCTTCAACTTGAAGAACGGCGCACAAAGCGCAATTACACCATAACGCCAGGATAAAACTCAAAATATCTATGAAATGAGTATCATGTGATGTAAGTAAATACTGAGATAAAGTATGAGGTGGCTAAATGTGCTCAGAAATGATTATATGTATAAAGATAACTAACTACTACGAAAAACTACTGCTATGAAGGTGATTAAGATATGATCATAGAGCGATATAGAACGGGTAGTGGCTGCTGCTCGTGAGCTAGGAACTTGGACCATTCCCTCGGTATAAGCAAGACAAACAGATGGCTCCATTTGACCAAAATGCGTTACGAACTGGTGGAACGGTACTGTAACACATGATCTTTATGAAGCCAACGAGCGAAAAGAACCATGCTTACTACAAAGTGTCCATAGTATGAACAGAGAGATCCAGCATCAAAGCCACATACCTCAAACCCTACAATGCACGCACCTAAACGACATATGAGGGCACGCGAGCTTACTGCCGATGTTCAGGGCGCAAGGATAAAAAGTCTCCCCTAATAGTATGGGGCAAGTATACCTACATGCAAGGAACTCTAAAAAACTGCAACCAGTGCTGTTTTTCAGTCGCAAAAACGCAAAATCGTAAAACTGCTGCAGAATGAACGTAGTCCAGCCTCTCGCGACCACAGTAAATAGCCGAAAACAAATGCGCGCGAGCTGGATTTTATGTAGCGCCCGATCAAAATGTGGACTAGGTAAAGCAGTATGCGATAATGCTAAGGATGGGTTTGGAGCGCAGTTGAAGGTGAGATCCATGCTACTCGCGACAGTCCGAGTAAGAAGCAAAAGGAATAAAACGAGTAAAAGATTGACAAATTATAAGCTCATCTGAGTATCATCCTGCGTTAGCGCAACCGAGATCCACCTGTGTTGGCCGTGAGAGTGGAAGAGAGACGGTTCAACGCAACAGCTTGAGCAGGCAATGGACTGGCAGGAAGGCAAAGGGGGACCTAAATTTCGAACACAAAAGGGGAAAGTTAAAAGGTAACAAAAAAAGGAAAACACATAAGACTAAATGATTCAATTAAATCTATACTTGAAAAGAGTAAAATATATTGGTTCAGGATTAATGGTTCGCCTTTACTTTCCTCAGTGGTTTGCTCTCGTGCGTTGCTGTCGAAGCGGAGGCTTCCGGGTAGGTAGGCTGCTGGTTCATACAGATGAAGCAGAGACGGGAGGCGCGTTAGACGATCGTAAAATGGAACCTGCACGTCTTGTGCTGGGTGAATACTTTTTGCGCCTGGATGACGAAGGCGACCTTGACTTGCTCACACTCGGCGACGGTGTGCGTGAATTGTGTCGTACGCGACGACAAGTACACGCTTCCTCCTCGAACTGAAGGCGTCTAGGCGGTACATGGTAATAGGTAGATGTCGATGACCTGTGATAAGGCGCTGTGGTCTATTAAAGCAGAGGGCAGGATGGTGAGCTCTGCCACAATATGCGCACGTAGGTGCTGAACAAAATGCATTCATGACCTTGTTTCAAGCACAACCAATAAAGTCCGCTTTCGTTAACGATGGCTCTGCGTTGTTTGACGCTCCGTACTTCGAAGCAGTTCTCCGGTCGGTGTCCTTCCCGTTCGCAGAAGACGCAACGATATTCTTGGTGTTGTGGTGGAAGTGTTGGACTGCGCGACGAGCGTCGCGAATAGTATGGTGTTGGCGATCGACTTCTCACGGAATGGTATCCAGGTGGTGAACGTAAGCTGCGCGAACAAGTTGCACAAGATGACTGATCGTAGGAGGATCTACTCGGCTGCTTAGTAGGATACCTGCGCGGGGAAAGAGAACCTTGACGAACTGCAGAGTCAGAGTTGCAGGTGGAATAATACTCAGGAACGGTATCCTCTATAGTTTCTTGTTGATCGATCACTTCATCGAGAGCTACCAATAGCTCGTCGACCGTCCACATCGGATCTCCTTTCTTCTTCAGTTCGCCAACTTTCTCGCACGTATGCCGTGGGAACTTCGAACGGATGGTCTTCAGTACGGCACTAGAGCGAGACTCCTCGTTGAGTCTTTTCATCTGGGCCCAAGTTGCTCTTATACTGCACAGAATGGTGCGCTGGAAAGTAGCGCTGTTTCTTGCGCGTGCCTGCTGCTTGAGTTTCTCCCAAAGATGGTTGCGAAGGAGCTCGGGCCTGCTATAAGTGCTTTCGATGATGCGTACTGCTTCTGCGTAATCCTCTTCACTAGGTTCGAAGTCCGCGATGATCTCAGCTGCTTTTCCCTTCATACGCGACTGAAGGTACATGAACTTGAACGAAACGGGTACACTGGTGTTATTGTGTACGGCCTTCTTAAAGATGGTTCAAAATGCGGGAAACTTGGCGATGTCGCCGTGAAATGCTGGAATATTGTATGCGGGTATGGTGAACGACTGCTCCAAGGTGGGAGGATGTGGGACTGGGAACAAGGATGGGTTAGTAGGGTTGGGACTGGGATATGGCAGAGTGATGGGGATCCCAGGGGGGTGAGGGTTTGCCGATAGAATGGGGTCCGTTGATGGGTTGCCCGGCGGAATGCCAGATCCAAGGGGAGGCTGCGAGGACTGCTCACCCTGTGTTGGGATCGCAGAGTCGCTCCCGGTGGGGTGAACAGCAGGCGCGACTGATAAGGGATCAGATGGACGATCCTGCTCTGACGGATGGGTAACACGCTCGACATCCGCATCTTGCGCGAGCTGCTGGGTGGGGACAGAAGGTTGAAGGGTGTTAGAAGAAGCCGGTGACAGGTTGGAGTTGGGGACTTAGGCATATAAGCAATTGAAGAAACATGACGATCGTAGAGCATATCCGCATTAGGCAGGAGTTTGATCTCATTACCCAAACGGTCAAGCAGAGTGTCCGCCTCATCCAAGAGATCATCCATTTCACTGGAGTCCCAGTGCGCGAGGATCTCCTGGAGAAGGGAAAACTCTCCGTGCTCTTCTGGATTCTGACGAGCAAACTCCTCAGCCTTCTCCCGCTGGCTGCGTAAGGAAGAAGCAGCGCGACTAATTAGAGAAAATAAGTTCGAAAGAAAACGAATATGATTTTTAACAAGTTCGTAGTCCTTGCCTGGCTCGAATGTAGGGCTTTCCATAACAAGATTGGCCTGTTCGACCTCCGCGATCTTCTTGCGCAATCTGTTAGCCGCTTTCGTAAGTTGAGCCTTCTGATAGCCAAGAGGGACATATCTGAAAATGCAAGGGACAGCCGAAACGATTAAACAACGTTGAACGACAAACATACACAGAACAAACGTTGAGCGAATTGTTAGGGGGCAACCCGATAAACTAACTCAAAACTGAGGTCAAGCTATCACATACTAAATACCTAAACTACGAACCCTAAGGAGGGAGACAACCCAACTAGCGCGCAACGTTAGGAGGATAGCGGTGGGCGCGAGGCAAGTAGTTGAACAGGGTGGTCAAGAAGGGACAGAGCGTTCCCCGAAGAGCGACGCGAATAACACATGAACAAAGCAAAACGGCTGCATACAGAAAGAACTACCTGGAGCCATGGGTATTGGATTGTTGCAGTCTCCCCCTGCGGATGTCCCTACGACGGTCTTGCCCCTACAGCGAATTAGCCCCTGCGGATACCCCTGCGGAATTCTTGCCCCTGCGGCTAAAAGGTCAGAACAACGACCTCACACCACTCCAGATAGCCCTTCTGAGTCCACCGCCATACCAGTATAGGACAATGCGCTGGCGCCTGGAGCTCATAGTCAGCAGTTGCTGCCACCAACTACCATTAATCACCCCACGCATTGGCTATACTTTGCGCGGCTGCAATGCTATGTGATCTGTAACCTGCAACCTGTAATCTGTTACCTGTAACCTAGATGACGCGACGAGCATGCCCTGTCCAACTACTTCCCTGATTTTAAACTAGGTGCGGAGCGTGGTAGACTACGGGATCGTTACGCACGCTGGGGGATGGGATAGCTAAGAACTGCGCTATTACTGCGCGAAAATCTGCTGAGATGTTACCTACCCATCGCGACATAGGAACGCGGCTACCCAAACAAAAACCCACACGCGGACGGAATACCGCGTCCACGGCGTCGATGCACCATGTGGCGACTAGGTGGGCTCACGGCACCTAGATGTTACCCGAGGCCTGATGCTCGCCCGATGCTAAACGACGTACCTAGCCTACTGCGCACTAACGCGCGACAGAAAAAACGTTAAATAGATTATGTGGTTTATCCTTATGACAATACACTACAATTAAAGGATAGACAAAAATGCTAAGCTAAAAACAAATTACTACACTATTACTAAAGAAACACGGGACGAGGGCCCGTCCCATGCTACCGATGCGCCTCTGGGGAAGTAATCTAGAATACAAGTGGCTCCCGAGGTTTCGCGCAACAAATCCACTGCGCAACGCCAAGGTGTAGACGACGGCACGTCCTCTCCAGCTCCTGTAGATGATTTCCGGTTAGTACTAGGCGCGTCTGAATGCGCTACCAAGAAGAATCCATTTTTTAATCCAAAGAACTTCCGGCTCAACTGCTCTTACAAGAAAGGACAGGAGCATGGCGGCTGAAACGTAATTCGAACAAGATATCCAAAATCAAACAATAAGACGAAGGCGAACAAGGCACCCAAGTGAGGCGCCGCCGCTTTATATAGCCGCCTGGCTGGTAACGAGCCAATAAAGGAGAGGACCGGAGACGATCGCGGCAACACGCATCTCGGCTACCGTAATCGTCGCCGGATAGCGCGGCAACCGATGCCCCGGCCTCCATACTTCGAGGAGCGCCTTGCATCGCGAAACGCGACACGCCGTGCCGCTTTAGCAGCGGCGAGTTTTGTGAGGCACAAAATCTGGGTGCGGCGGTGGCCACCGCGGCAGTGTGATTGCTGACCCCTAGCCGTTTTTAGTGAGAGAGTACAAGAAACAATGCTCTAGAATGTGGTTCAATTTAAAGATTAATTGTCTCCGGTGGTCCGCCTACTCTATGGCAAGCGGACACTCTATACAATATTTGGACATGAATTTTCACAAACATTGCAGTTGTTTGGGAAATATACAAAATACAATATCTCAGTTAGCGCAATCAAGCGAAAATTGCTATACGCAAAAAATGGATAAAGAATTGATTTCCTTGCCTGCGGTTGTGATCAGCTGTTCGTCGATTCTTTCCATCCGCAGTGCGGATAAAGAATGAAGAATTGGGATCAGCTGTTCGTCGATTCTTTCCATCCGCAGTGCGGATGGAAAGAATCGACGATCAGCTGATCATTACCGCAGGCAAGGAAATCAATTCTTTATCCATTTTTTTGCGTATAGCAATTTTCGCTTGATTGCGCTAACTGAGATATTGTATTTTGTATATTTCCCAAACAACTGCAATGTTTGTGAAAATTCATGTCCAAATATTGTATGGAGTGTCCGCTTGCCATAGAGTAGGCGGACCACCGGAGACAATTAATCTATAAATTGAACCACATTCTAAAGCAATGTTTCTTCTACTCTCTCACTAAAAACGGCTAAAGGTCAGCAATCACACCGCCGCGGTGGCCACTGCCGCACCCAAATTTTGTGCCCCACAAAACTCTCCGGTGCTAAAGCGGCACGGGGCCAGAGTAGGGGGGAAGGAGGGTGGGTGGTGGCGACAGATACATGACTCAATGGCATAAATAACATTGCGACAGGAGTACTGACTAAAGCTTAGACTTGTACTGCCTGACGTTGCGTTGCGGCGTCGCTCCGCGAAAAATCGTGACATCTGACAACCCATCAAAAACTGCCACCCGTGTACGCATACCTTCGATAGTCTAGAGAAGGGCCTCAAAACTGAAGGTTGTTTGATTATCTGTCCCTCATAAAAAGTGAAGGTTGTTCATATAAAACCAGAGAAGAAAAAAAGATGCAGAACAGTTAATAAAAGCAAGATAAATTGAAAATCGGATGAAAACGCTGCAAAAAGTCTAAAATCTTTCATATGGCGGCGTTTTCGCTCTAGGACCACGCAATCCACAACACACGGGGAAACGAGAAAAGCTCGTTATTCTTTATGTTTAATCCAAAACCAACCATGTTCCGGAAGCCGATTATGAAGAAAAGATAAACAAGAAATTACTTTTAAAAACGCAGAGTTTTGTTCTTACCAAGTTGAAATGCGCGTCAAAGCCAACCTATTTTTGGTGCGTCATTCAAATTTCCACCTCCGGATTGTGGTTCCCGTTTTCTGGGGCGTTGTCTAAAATGTTGCGCTTATTTTTCTGAGCAACAGTCGTCCAAGCTGGAAAAAGGTCGCTGCGAAAGCATCGAAACAAAACAAACTGAAGAAAAATGCACTTTTTACGATTTCTCATAAAAAAAATTCCACCACAGTCGAAGAGGTAAGCGTTGGGTCGTTGTCTACATTGTGAACAGAAGCAATATAGAATGTAGAACTGCGTGAAAAGAAGTAAACTGGGAGAATAACAAGAAGTTTTTGAAAACAAGGTTTTTGACGGATTTCTCGTTCAAAACAAAAAATATGGTGTTGGGATTCTATCAGCGTGAAAGTAGAGATCAAGAGCTACAAAATAATATATAGCTTGCTAAAATTGGATTCGAAACATCGCAGAAAAGGGTACCAGAGCCAAATGCCCTCGCGTCCCGCGTTTGGGATAGCGAGGTAGAGCGCAGCGCGCGGAGACAGACCAGAGCCAAGTGGTCGTTTGGCTCTGGTCATAGATCACAACGAAACCCTGCAACATTGTATAGGCCGTATCAGCTAGCATCGGCTCCGCGCTGGTTTGCCTTGCGAGGCCGCACCTCGCATGCGACGTGCCTTAACGCGTAGCAAAGCTCTCACGCGTCACATCGCGCCGTCGCAAGTTGCTGCAGGGCGACGTCGCATGACCAATGCTGGTTGGTACAGCCTGTATATCATTTTGATCGTCATGATATGGCGAGAAGCACTGACAACCCTCCAGCGTTGAAAATTATTCGGGCGAGCATTGAGTATGGTTCAGCTCATCTGATGGGGGGGGGGAGGGAAGTTTCTCACCCGAGCCATATTCTCGCACATAAGTGATGTGCCTGCCAGGTACATTCGGACTAGCTATAAATACGAGCTCCTCAGGATCCAAGACAATGCAAGCCCCGCCTCTTTATCGAGTGTCGCTTCAGATGCTGAAACCAGAATTTCAAACAAAGTTACGAAATCGAAATTCAATAGCAAAAGTGCTCCAATCACGACCAAATTTCGGGTTTAGGGTTTCCGAGATTGTTTTTTTCAGAAGATTTATTTGCTGCTAGGTCAAGGTTGAACCTTGATAATGCCCAACCGAGATCAAAATTCGGACTTAGCCGAAATTTCTTTAATTCTTTAATCCAAGATCAAAATTCAGGTCTACGAAGTTTTGAAAAATTATGAAACTATTGAAAAAAATATCCGTAGCAATAGTTTGAAATTTTGTTGTTTTCAAATAATGAGGTGTTTTCTTCTATTGTTTGACATCATTCCGAGCTTTCTAGGTCTACTACGAAGTTTTCATTAGGACAGCCTTGATGATCAGTAAGCCTAAACAACAGGTCTTGTTCTGAGAAAGGAAAGTTCGAAAACATTCAAATCGAGTTCTGATCTCGGTTGGACATTATCGGTGCTGAATTTCGATTTTGCAACAAACGAATGTCATCACTGAAAAGAGCGACCTCGAAAACCCCTGAATCCGAAATTTGGTCTTGACTGGAGTAATTTCGCTGCTGAACTTCGGTTTTGAAACTTTCTTTGAAATTCCGGTTTCAGCATCTGAAAGCGACACTCGATAAAGAGGCGGGGCTTGCATTGTCTTGGATCCTGAGGAGCTGGTAATTATAGCTAGTCCGAATGTGCCTGGCAGGCACATTGCTTAGGTGCGAGAATATGGCTCGGTTGAGAAACTTCCCGCATTCCACCTGATGTGACGGAGCCATAGTCTCACGAAGACTCTGCTTATCTAGCTGTGGCAACCCTCTCTCCAATTTCAAAATGCATTATTATGGAAATCTCTCTTTCGCAAGTTTTGCACTCTACAAGGTCTTTGTGCCAACCTATTTTACCTAAACTTTCTTCGTCGCCTTGTTACAGCTAACAAGGGAAGTACTTTCGATGGCCGTGGCCTTTTGATATGGGATGCATACCACCTGAAGCAGCTTCGAACGCTGATTTCAAATCTGCTTTCCTTTTCTGCGGAGCGCTCTTCTGAAGAGAGTTATGGAACCCTGAATATCCTGTTTTGGGGCGCTCCTTGAGTTTGAGGACGCTGCCACGTACGTTGGTGGTGCAACGGTGTAATGGTTAGTTGTTGGCAATGAAGGCCAAAGGTCGATGGTGCGAATCCGGTTTGATTGGACTCATTTGAAAGATTTTGAATACATTTGAAACGCCACTCCAATATTGTTCCCCTACTAACTTAATGGGTACTTGCGAACATGAGAATTGTGCGGAGGTTCTCTTCGTACGCTGTTCCCGTTGTGAGAAAAGTCTGTGTTTTGCTCACTTTGTGATTTCGCTTCACCTTTGTACATGAATTTTTTTGCAGAGGAAACCAAATCTCAGCAAGCAAGCGGTTCTGCCAGAAAAGTCCTTTTTTAAGTCACATTTGAGGGTATTACATTAAGTGGTTGCAGACGAATTAGAGTGGTCTTTGAACTCGCATTCATAGTGCAAAATGGTATGCTCTGCACTGGATTCGAACCACCGGCCTTTCACCTTCAATGCCAACAACTAACCATTACATCAATGCACCACCAATGCACATAGCAGCGCTCTCTGACTCAAGAATTGCCCCCAAAATAGGATTTTCAGGCTTCCATAACTCTCTTCAGAAGAGCGGTCCGCAGAAAAGGAAAGCGGACTTAGAATCAGCGTTCGAAGCTGCTTCAGACGATATGCATCTCATATCAAAAGGCCACGGCCATTGAAAGTACCTTTCTCGTAAGACCTGGGTCAAAACTGCAGCCGTTTCTATCTTACAGACCATCCAAAGGCCTAAGCGCGGTCTTCCGAAGCATCTGCGGCACACCACTAGACATCAACTAGAAAATGCCTGAATGATACGAATTTTATTGTAGGATAGGAAGCCGAAATCAAAGAGAAATTCGACGGGCATATTTGTTTCAGTTTGAGTGCGAGTTTGGTGCCAAACCTTATCAAAACCCTTTGTAAAATTCAGGTAAACAACAACAATACTTTGACCAGAGTCCAAGGAACAAGTAAGGCTTTTCTGGCGTAGGTGACACAAACGAAATCTTCCATCGTTCAGAAAAATCTAATTTTTATTCGTTAGATTGAAAACATACTTTGGTGGCTTAAAAATAACATGAGCTACCGCTTTGATGAGGTGAAGGTGTACGACATCCGGTGTGAGCGGTTAAGATCAAGGGCCCTTTTCGAAAAAGCACGAGAATTTCGTAGTTATTGAAATGTCGCACCACTTTCATCTATGCAAATTTGGATGTAGAGGAATTAGATCAGAATTTTCAGACCTTTTTAATGGCATTAAATCCTCGATTTTATTGAAGTCTTAAGGAAAGGCATCTCTACCACTCTCATCCTTCTTCTCTCTTAAATCTTCCGTTGATCAAGCGAGAGGCGGTCCTATCTCCTGCTTTAACTGTCTTAACTTCTAGGTAAGCATTATACAGATTGTCCCAAAAGTATGTATGCACTGTTTGATCGTTAATATCTCTCTTCCCAAGAAGTCGTTTGCCTTGCTTCAGGTACCGTTTTGTAGAGCTGGCTTCAACTTAGATTTGCAGTTAAGAATGAATCCCATCTCTCTTGATTACTTAGGATTACGGTAGAAACTTCAAAGAGGGTTTTGAGCCATGAAAGGCCATATTTTGCCACAGAAAGGAAACAAAACAGCCTGAAAACTTTACGCTAGGCTAATTAGGGCTATTGATTCTAACTGTAAAGTTTCCAACTTTTTATGATGCTTCATTGAAGAGTTATGCTGGGTAAGAGGTAGCGGCCATTTCTTCAGTGTTCCTAAAAAGTGCGGTTACACCGTTTCAAAAGCTTCGCAATTTTGTGAACAGTTGAGTATTGGACTCAGCGTCCATAAAAATCTTATTATACAAGTTCTCACATTTTTTGAAAAATTTTGAAACGGCAGCTTTTTCCACATTGACACCATATGTTTCAAGTTTCTACTGTAATCCTACAGTAATGAAGAGAGATGGGTGATTCGTTCTATACTGCAAATCTAAGTTGAAGCCAGCTATACAGAACGGAATTTGAAGCAAGGCAAAAGATTTCTTGGGAAGAGAGATACTAACGATTAAACAGTGCATACATACTTTTGGAACACCCTGTATTTCCTTAGCCTTTTTTCAAACATGGACTTTATTCTTCTGAAAGGCTACGTATCGTTTATTTCATCAAAAGCTCTAAAACTAAAGTAGGCCGCACTACCTTTAAACCGCTTTTTGATATGGAATGGCGTTAGAGTGACAACTAAGTCCTGAAATAAGTACACCAAGACAGAGTTGTAGGCAGTATACTGCTAGAGGTTGACTTGATTTCTCTATATATAAAGCAGAAAGTTATGTGTTTGCGGTATGTTTTGATAGATTATTTTGCGCGTGGACCGAATGAGATGGAACTCTGAACACAAACGTGACACCGGCGGTTGTCATTACCTTTTATGGCTCTATCCACCGGTATCTGTATTGATGCATCGACTTTCAGCACTCTTGCATAAAAATTGAAATCGGTTGCATGCCGACAAGAGGAGCCTTTAGTCGAACTAGTCTTACCGCATGTACCTATATCACTAACGCGATTTTGCATGCTGATTCCAAATCTTAATTCGTTTTCTGCGAACAGCTCTCTGAAAAAATTGTGATTGTTTGAAGCAAATTTCTCTTGCGATAAGCGGTACAAAATCAGCGAAAGATGCAGAAAAACTGCCGAAGCAGGTAATCACATTTATATCGAAGATATGGACTACAAAGAATGCACAGCTTGTGGAGATGTGCATACGTGTTTTTGTACAGTTTTGCTAATTCAATGACACTTGATGCTAGCCAAGCTTGCACTTGCAAATACTCCTAATTTCATTCAAAACGTTTCTGTGCGGAAAAGGAAGACAGATTTGGAATTATCGTTCAGTGATCTACGAGGTGATATAGATACCATCAGCAAAAACTATTTCGACTAGAAACGCTTCCTTTGTGAGTTTTATTCGTGCAAAGAAAGCAAAATAAATAGTTCTGATGTACATCTTTACCTAGGCTTTGAAAATGTCTCAGAGAATCAGCCAATGTGTATTCATCAGATTACAACCGAATGAATTCTAATGTGCGCGCGCGAGCTCCATTGTCATAACAATTCCTAAGGTTACTACAAATATTGAAGCGTCGCCTTTTGAAAACACTTGCGGATCAATAATGTGTTTAAAAGAGGTAAAAAGATAGGAAATGCTTGAAATGTAGTAACAAGCACAAAAGAAAAGTTGAAAGCAGAATACTTACATCCGCCATAGGTAAGTATTGTATTATCAATTTTTGCTATCGATTTTTTTGAATTATCGATTGTTGAAGCTTGTAATGGTTGGTCATTACTTCAGTTTGCTTACAACGACCCAGTTGAAGCTAATCGTTATGCAAAGAATATTGGTCTTGATTTGGTCTTGCTAAATGCATTCGCATATAGTATCGAACTGATATTGTTGATCTTGTCCCTTATCATCATGACGACTTATTTGGTTCTTTCTCATGTAAATCGGCGTTTCCATGACATTTTGAGGTGGTTCTTTTTTTGCTCAATTCGAGGGCATTTTTACGAAAAATAAATCAGATTTGAAATGTTTTATTTGCGTGGTGTTTCAGAGTGCTTATGGGCTTTATGTGCTTCGCCATGCTGCTCGCTGCCAGTTTCCGTATCTATATAGTCCCAGTACGACTAATACTAGGTGAGCCATGTACTAGACATAAAACCATTAACTGTCAAATCGTTGACCGCACCGACTGGCAGTAGGTCGGGCACACGCTTGCACCAGTGTAAATGTACCAGTACAATGCCAGTGCTATCAAATCAACGTTCTCAACAAACAGCCAAACTACGTGTGCTCCAATACGTGCGGTCGACGATCTGACGATGCTTGCCGCGTCAGTCTGCAATGAAAGCATGGTCAAATTCACTTCTTTCAGAGTCTTCAGCAACAGTGGTAAATTGGGGGGAGGAGAGACTCGCTAAGAACGAGAAAAGTGCGAAGCACTATGGCAATCGTCATACCTCGAACAATTCCTTCAAATTGCGGTCATCACGCGTTCTGGCAACTCGACAATGCCTGGAACTCATTGCATAGGCGCAAACATTTTGTCTCAATCACAAGCAGGCCAAATCCACCTCCATCTAGTTTTCTGGTCGCTAGGCGGTTCTTCCCGCTCCAAGTCCGGGGTCAACGATCGCCCCGTGGAAATCGAGACTAGGCCTAGTGAGTCTGCTCTTGTAAGGGAAAAATCTTATTACTCCGTCAGCACATCAGTCGTATTGAGACTAATTGTACCAACATGGCAACCCGTACTTGCTCGCAGCAGAATGCCGGCTCCGGCAAAACTTCGTGAGTGAAGAATGTTTCGGCCCCTTTCATGTGCATCTGCGCATCTGTACGATTGGATGCTGTGAAGCCCACAGTATGACAAAGTATCCTGAGAATGCAGACAATCTCACCTCGACCATACGCTGACATTTGGTTCTCAAATAAGGTGGGCGAAGTTGCGGTACAGTCTGTCAAGGATTTGGCAGCCACGCCTATAGCCTTCTGCCTCACCGCCTGATTTTGTTCCCAAAAAAGCTACATAGATATGGACGAGAGGTGTGCAAGGTCTAACCGGGCCAGGGCGGGCACAGCTGGCACCTGGCCAAGCTGGATATTTTGGGGTGGAAAGTAAAGGGGATATCGTTTTTGCGGGTTAGATGCCGCTGTTTGCTAGAATGCCAGGGGCACGCCGCCGGCAAGTCGCCAGCAGCGTGCCCCTGGGACAAACAAAAGCCTTTTTTACAATCAAAACGCAATCATATGACACCAAATTCGGTGTGTGCATGCGCGTTGGGGGACTCGAAATATGGCCCAAAAATTTATGAAAACTTATATGAATGAAAGCTGTGCTGAACTTTTTTCTGAATTAGCTGGCACCGTGCCAGCTGGGTGCCAGCTGAGCTGGCACCGACCCTTTGCTCACATAAGTTTTCATACTTTTTTACATGGATTGTATCTGCACTGTAAAAGTTTACATACAGAGCAAAAACAACTTCATAATGTTTTTTTCGGCGTTTTATAACCATCTGAAAATTACTCGGTCAACTCCGCAGTCGAAAAATTTGCTCCAATCACAAAGCACGCCCTAAGCAAAGGCAAAACACGTCAAAGAGGACTTCGTGGAAACTTTCAAGATCAAAGGAGACTAGTCTCCTGGTTAAGAACTTTCCTGGCCCCAGCTCGTGCTGAGCCCTGAGCCGGGCAGCGGACAGCTTCGGCAGCCAGCTGCCGAAGCTGTTGGCAAAGCCGCTGCAGATGGTACAGTAACTACGTTCGTTAACTATTGCGAATGGTTTCTTCGCACCTCGTTATGTTGAGGTGCGATATCAGCATCAGGGATAGAGTTATATCGTCATATTCTTATTATTTCAAACAGCACATTTATATCTCATTAGGAACCGTGCAATCCAATGAAAAAAGCGGGAAATCTTCAGAAATCTACGAACACTTCAAAATTGAATGAATGGAGAATTAAACAGTGTCCTTTTCTGTTACGCATTTTGACGTCAAAATAATATTGTTTATTGACGCAGTAGTTTCAAGCATGTTCAATTTTTCTAGTGAGAAATCCCTAGAATTTAGACTCACTTTCATTAACACTTAAAAATTGAAATGCGGTTTCGTTGAAGCGCTTATTAAAGATCGTGCTTCACCTTTGCTTCGCAGAGGCTCGCACTGACTTCTCTATCTATATGCCTCCTCTTGTTCGCATGATGTTGGCTCTGAAACTTATGCTGACAATCATGAACGTATTGTAAACAATACTCATTCCACAAGCTTTTCCTTACAGGAGCGTAACTTTGGAAAGAGAAAATCCTTGTGTAGAAGTTTAAAAGAAAAGTCCGGTCAATTACTGAAGTTATTATGGTCGAGTAGTTGCTGTAAAGGGTAGCCACTTCCGTCATTCACATCTCAGCAAAATCTCCACAGATAATCAGGTGAAACCTAACAAATTGACGAAATTTATTCCTTTTCGGCGCAGTTTTTGCGTAAAAATAGACATCTTGCTCACATTTTGGGCTTAAGTCCATGGTCTGCGCATTTACTCGTTGAGCAAATCCACAACTTCATCAAAAGTACAATCACCGATCCACTTTTTCAGATAATTGCCGGAAGCAGGCGGTCCGCAAACTCGCGCTTTTCTGCAAGCGTCAGCAAAATCTTGGGGAGTGGCCAAACCTTCAGAGAGCGGTACTTTCCTGTTCTGCCAGCGGGCAGCAATACAAAATTTTCTGCAAGCGTTCGTCAAATGTTCTCTTTCAGCGAGCACTGGCCAAACTTTCAGCAGGCGCTAGAACTCTTTTTACGCAGTTTCGGGCGTACGCCGAGCAAAGGTAACACTTTACATAACAGAGGTGTCCTCGATTGTTCAATTACCCGAGTTTGGGGTACTTTCTCCCGACGGAAGGTACCTATGGGATGTGCGGTCCTTCACAAAGGACCGTGCGGCTCCCAATAATTTTGCACATTCTCGCGGAAGGTCCGCCGCAATTATATTATGAGAAAGGAGCAATTGTCCTCGTGGCTCATCTAAAATTTTGCCAAAATTCTTCCAAATATCTGCATGCGGACCGCAAAAGAGCGAAGTATTTTTCTGGTGCTTGCCTGCACATAAATCGCATAGCCGCCTGCTCCCGGTAATTATCTGAGTTGGAGGGCCAAAAGTCGCGTGGACCCGTTTGACGTGCAGTTTTCAAAGGTTCCATTTATCGGATCGGCTTATGCTTTTGGCACATTACCTACATGCAGATAGGGCGCCATGGCCAAAATTTCCGCTCAAAACCTTGACTATACAACTCGCTCCATGAATTTCGTGGCAGACAAACATCTTCACACAGAGATAAACAGACAGACGCTTAACACTTTATTACAAGTCATAATGGTTTTTTTGATCTTGGATTCTTTTTTTATTTTGCAACAAACTGGTTTGAATTTTTTCCCCGCTATTTTTTTCATTTCTTCAAAATATCTGGAGAAGTGATGATTTTTCCACGTAAGCTTGAGCATAGACCCGCTTAACATTACTGACATTACTGCTTTGGATTTTGGCGCGTTTAACATTGTAATGTCATAAAATACTAATTTTGACAGGCTTTTCGTTACGTATCCATAGCATTACGTGATTGTTTTACTCCTTTCTCCGACGCTAAAAGTGAGAAAAAAAATTTCAGAAACTAAATATCTCCGATTTTCCAGCCTCTGGTTATTTTGTGTACCCAAAGTAACTGACTGTGGCCCATTTCCTTTAAATTGTGAAGTTTGTTTATCTGCATGGTTCTTAATTACAAAATTTTTTGTTTTAAAATAATACTAGCTGGCTTACCCGGCTCCGCCGTATCCGGACCAAACTTGGCACACATACACTTCGGGCCCCGGCGGGTGTCACAGTCCACTTTTCGTTATCGATCGATGTCGATTTTACCGATTTTTATCGATTTTTTGGCAGAGTTCACCTTCAGGGCTAGGAGTTGGCACAGGGGGGAAGTGAGCATGGGGATTCCGAATACAATATTAGTTTTCAGAATTATCGATTGCTTTTATTGATTTTATCGGTTTTTTGGCAGAGTTCACCTACAGGGCTAGGAGTTGGCACAGGGGGGAAGTGAGCATGGGGATTCCGAATACAATATTAGTTTTCAGGATCGTCCATTACTTTTATCGATTTTATCGATCTTTTTGCAAAGTTTGACCTGCGGGGCTGGGAGTTTGCACAGAGGGTAATCGAGCATGCAGATTACGAATACAATATTAGTTTTCAAGATCGTCCATTACTTTTATCGATTTTATCGATTTTTTGAAAATTTGAGCTAGGGGGCTGGAATTTGGCACAGGGGTGTTCGAGCATGCTGATCACCCCCCTTGGGGATGATCAGCATGCTCGATTACCCCCCTGTGCCAACTCCCAGCCCCCTAGCTCAAACTTTGCAAAAAAATCGATAAAATCGATAAAAGTAATCGATAATCCTGAAAACCAATATTGTATTCGGAATCCCCATGCTCGATTACCCCCCTGTGCGAACTCCCAGCCCCGTAGCTCAAACTTTGCAAAAAAATCGATAAAATCGATAAAAGTAATCGATAATCCTGAAAACCAATATTGTATTCGGAATCCCCATGCTCGATTACCCCCCTGTGCCAACTCCCAGCCCCGTAGCTCAAACTTTGCAAAAAAATCGATAAAATCGATAAAAGTAATCGATAATCCTGAAAACCAATATTGTATTCGGAATCCCCATGCTCACTTCCCCCCTGTGCCAACTCCCAGCCCCGTAGGTGAACTCAGCAAAAAAATCGATAAAAATCGATAAAATCGATATCGATCGATGACGAAAAGTAGCCTATGACACCCGCCGGGGCTCGTAGTGTATGTGTGCCAAGTTTGGTCCGGATCGGTTCAGAAATGGAATTTTCTATTCGGAACATACGTACAGACATACAGACAGACAGACATACAGACAGACAGACAGACAGACAAACAGACATTCAGCTTTATATATAAGATAGATATTATGGATATCGCTTGTCCTGAGGCTGATATCGCACCACAGCGCAAGAGGTGGGAGGAAAGCTCTCTGCAAGAGTTTTGGACGAAAGCGTAATTACTGTATCATCTGCAGCGGCTTTGCCGGTAGCTCCGACGACTGGCTGCGACAGCAAGCAGCTGCCTGGGCACCACTTGCTACGCTCCCCAGATGGCCTACAATGCTGGAAGAAGTTAGTAAAAAAACAAAATTAGATTTTGAGAAGCCTACCACCGCAAATTTTTGCGGCGGCCCATAATGTTTCAGAAAAAGTGGAAATGGCCTCAGCCGTCAGCGGCCATGGCCCCAAAAAAACACGTCTACAAATCTCTAGCTTGAATTCTTAAAAGTTTAAAAAGTCATTTCAATTGCTTAAGATATAAACAAGTCACTTGCACGTCTTTACAAATTATGTAACTTTCAAAAATTTCACCACACTAACGGATGGAGCGCTTACTTTTGTAATACCATCCGAGCAATATCTGTTATTTCCTTTTATCGAGCTTTCTGCGACACGATTTCAACATTATGCTCTCCCCTATCCTAATCGAGGCGTCGTTGGAGAATCTGTCTGGTACACCATGCAGGTTTTTAAAAAACATGGATAATCATAAAAAAAGGAAACAAAAGTGGGAGTGAATTTGAATCGCAAAGCTCCATTAGTGAAATGGGGCTTCTTCTTCAAAAAGAAAAGAAGATGTTTTATGCCCAATAGGTGCCAACTCTGCTAGCTCTCCCTTCTCTGCTACCGTCCCATCATTGCTGTTGTTCAGGTGTAATCGCTGCATTGAAATCAACGCCCAAGCAAATCTGGACAGATGGGGATGCACGTTACTGTTTTTAGGAACCTAACTAAGGCACTGCTGCAGCGCGAATGACGCACTCTCTGCTGAGATATTCGCCCCAAACTAAGCCCCAAAACCATAGTGCTGACGGCTTGCATCGTGCTGCACCTTGCGAGTGTGACGCCGCTCCTGTGACGAGTTTCCGCGCGAAATCCTGCAAGGGGGTGGCAGTCGTTCACTAAATCGGTACTTGGAGCAGGTGCCTAGACACTGCTCTTAGCCTCTGCACGCGACGTAGACTCACGTGCACCGCTCTTGTGCTTGATCGGAAATAGAGAAGTTCTACCTAAAAAGGTGATAAATCGGAAGAGGCTCTGCTTTATTTGACATCGGTCCAAATAGAGTACAGATGAAAGAGCCCGCACATGAGCAGCCTCTATCAATCCCATGTTCGCGTCTGTGTGGCCGGAAACTACTGTATGTAGCGGTCCACTAAGGGCCTACCTTGTGATTCGCTCTTCGCCCGCTATGTTGTTTTGTTTAGGTCGTTCATACGAAAACTCATGGATTCGGTCAATTGAAACCTTTTGTTTTGCTGCGGAACAACTTTTTGTCTTTCAACTAGACACAGCAATCTTTCTTATCTCAGTTGAACGGCTTATAGCTACAGTGCATGTAAAGCACTACGAATATATGTTCAGAACAGCTGCACATAAAGTCGTTCTTATTACCCTCTTTGTGAGCTGCATAATTTCTCTTCTTCTAAATTAGTTACTAAGGACTTTTGTAGGTAATTCTTGACTGCGTTTGTTCGTACTTCTTCTTCTCTGATGCCAACCTGTACCACGGATCAATTACGCTTATGTACTTCAGTGGTATAGCAACTACAACAAGAATCACGGGTTTCGCTGTAAGTTGTTTAGAGGTCATGAGTGATTCTGCCACATCGCCGATTGCCGCATTAAATTCACCGATCAGGTTAAGATAACTCTAGCTAACTTCGTCTTTCAAGCACCAATAAATGCGATTCTCGTCTCCCTGGACCTGGCTGATCTCTACGCATTTAGCTTACCACCAACCTTCCAGTAAAGCAAACCGGAATCGGGTTAAAAACTTGTTACGCACTATATCTTAATTACTAAAAAAAACAAAACTTACTCAAAAGTAAAGCGCAGGTGACCTTGGCGAAAGTGAGAAGGGTATCGTCTCAGCAAGGTGAGCGAAAACGGCTGAAAATTAGCCCATTTTAGAGGCGGTGAGGTTCTCAGCGCAATCCTTATGACTTGTAGCACGTTATGCACGCGGGAAATCTTCCTCCTTCTGTGGTCTGCTTGAGGAAAAGCCGCCGCATTGAGTGTCGAGCGGGGCGATGGTCCTGCTCAGACAATGGATCGGACCCCTCCGCTGGGGAAATGGCAGGGTCGCGGCGTTTCCCCAGCGGTGGGTCACCCATTCGTCCGGCGGAGCCCTCCCATTTCTCCGGCGGAGACCTCCCATTTCTGCTCCGGATACCTCCCATTTTCTGCTCCGGAGACCTCCCATCTTCTGCTCCGGATACCCCCCATTTTCTGCTCCGGATACCCCCCATTTTCTGCTCCGGAGCCCCCCGATTTTGTGCGCCGGAGCCCCCCGATCGCGGCATACTGTAATTACCCCTAATTAAAGGCAGCTTCCAGGCAGATCTGGACCTATGGGGCTTTTACATGGAAAGTATTTTTGGGGCCCTAACTAAGGCACTGCCGAAGCAGCAGTTCAGGTAGTGCTCTAATGGCGAAGATATTCCCCTCGGAACAGACCCCCCGCAAACGTATTCGCATGGATTCATGGCAGTTTCGCGCCAGGATCCACGCTTTGCGCCATGAATCCATGCGAAACACGGTCGCGGGGTCCGGTTTCGAGCAGAATATCTCAGGCGTTAGAGCACTACTTGAGCTGCCGGTTGGGTAATGGCTTAGTTAGGGCCCCAAAAGTACTTTCCATGTAAAATACCCATAAGTCCAGACTTGCCTGGACGCTGCCTTTAAGCTCCAAACCCCAATTTTGTCTCTAAACCCCACCCAAATAAGCCGAATAGGATCCCCCCCCCCCCCGGGTAGGAGTTTAGCGCGACCCTCACCCCGTACTCTACCCCCTCCCTCTCACCCCTAGCGTTTGTGGATAGAAGATAGAAGAAAGAACGAAGAGATAAGACATTTATTTCAAATTTATCAAACTTTCGAAAAATCTATCTATCTATCTCCAGCATACGTACAACAGTTAATTCATATTACAAAAACCATACTAGGAGTTAGAGATGGCGCCATCTATCCTACCGGGCTGGCTGCGCGGGCGGTTCGCGCGCGGCACCCGTGAGTAGCATTGGGGCGCACATTGGATGGATATGAAAATGTCATGTGCGCTTTTCATCGGCTCAAATGTGCAAACGAAGATTCTCGCGCATATCGCAGAATAACGAAGGATGTATGCGTTGCGATGTTGGTGAATTGGCTTCCACTTCAGTAGCCGCTGCGCTGATTTACTGCTACTTCTTGGACTAGTATGTGGTCGAAGATACCCAACACCTCCTCAGTGAGCCTATTCGGTTTTTTGGAACTTATTGCTTTTCTGCATATGAAAAGGTTAGAGAACGTTGTGCGTTTAACGATTTCGATTTATTGGCCTCTTCCTGGAATAGCGAATCCGATTCTTTTCCAGTGATCCATAGGTACTTGTAAGCGTCAACATCAGTTGTGGGTCACTGATCCATGGTAAGAGTATGCCTCAAGACTAGTCTTACAAACTTATAGGTTCACTATCAAGCCAACATAATTCCATTATGCAGGAATGCTTCATGAATAGATAAGGAGGTCAGAAGGTGTATAAGAACGCTAGCGTCGCCTACATTTCGACATCAGGTTTTGGTCAAATTCCATTAAGATACCTTCGAGTAGCTTGTTAGCATCGCCTTTTTGGATTCATATAGTTCTGCTCGCAGCTGAAGAGAAAACGGCTAATGCTCACCAATGAGAATCACTGATTGTTACAAAATATGAACGGTGTGGCAGACAAATGAATGTCTCTATAATATAATCTTCTTGCCTTTAGCTGACTTCTTATACGTTTTGGAGCGAAAGTCCTCCTCAGTACGCCTGGATCGAGAGAGTATCTGATCCAACGTTGCAATCATAAGAAGGAATGCGCGCTCCACGCTATACGGGTGCCGCGCGCGAACCGCTCGCGCAGCCAGCCCGGTAGGAATAGATGGCGCCGTTAGAGATAAGAATATTCAAAGAAAAACAATTTCCTAGTTGCAAAAAGAACCTTGTAACACCACAGTATAAGCATATGGTTTTAACATGGTAAGAAAATGACAAAAAGATCAAAAAAGCATTCTGTGCAACATGAAACAAAACAGCGAGGAACGCCATAAACTCACATTTGCAAAGCAGGGACATATTGTCCAAGTGCGATATACACATGAGCTATATTCATCCAAACATCTTCGAATTCCGAGGTCCAAGGCCATACTGGGGCAAAACGAAAGTAGGATGATTCAACGTAGTTGCTTGATAATAGTACTAGGACACGATGATGACATGGATTGAAATTCTTGCATATGCAACTTACCTTGAACGCCTTTTCATAGTCTCTGTTGAAATGGAAAAACCGCGCAAGAATGTAACAAGCTTCGGCCTTGATTTCGTCACTTTCCGTCATACTCATTGCATGCCACGCTAACCGTTCAACCTTGTTCATTTCCTGAAAAAGTGATGCCTTCAGATAAAGCGATAAACACCTCGATGTAACAGCTTGGACAAATTTGCAAGGGCCTAATAGATAATTCGTAATTAATTCAAAGAATTTCTGCACTGACTCCTTTGAAGAAGAAGTGGTTGGCAAGATGGACCAAGACAACCGGATTCTCCGGCTCCAGACTATACGCTTGGCCTAGACAAGCCACTGCACTTTGGGCTCCCTCGACAGTATGCGTATTGTAATCCAAAATGGCAAGTGCTGAGAGAGCACAAACATTGTCATTTTGCAATTCCAACGCTCGTTCAAAAGCGATTCTGCAAATTGTAATTGAAAGTCACATAAACAGTAAAGAAGAAGCTATGTGACTCAAACATTTTACATTTACATGCTTACCTAGCCTTATCAGTCAGTCCTAATCTCGCTAAGCAATACTGGAAGCAATGTGATGTGACTAAGCAACAGTAACAGTCACAATGCTTCAGTAACAGTCACAAAACTTCGGTAACAGTCACAAAACTTCGGTAACAGTCACAAAACTTCAACATCGTTTGGAGTTGCCTCCAAGACTTTTGTCAACATATCTCTTGCCTTGTCCTATCTTTCAAGCCAGAAACGATATAGTGAGGATCTGCAACGTCTGATGAAAAGTCGACTTGGTAAGCATATGTACGAGAGAGATAGTGTGGACCCCGGACAGCTTCCCATAGGTACTAGCGCGGCGCACACGCAACGCGCGCCCGACTTGAACGCTTCTCATTTCACTTACGAACAAAAAAGCATTATAACCGAAAACAGGAGTGAAATGAGATGTGGAGGCCTCTAATCCGAACACGAGAAAAGCCAAGGCAATAGGAGAACCTTCACAACTTCTACTACTAGCGCTCAGATTCCAGTCAATCTCATAGATAACTGGAATCTTCTATTATCCATCGCTAGTAGTGTATGACACTACCAGCGATGGATGACAGAAGTAACAGGAAAAGTCGAAGAACAATTCTGAAAAGTCTTCCTTCTGGTCATAAAAAAACCCAGAAAGTTTGAGCTCAAGAGCACGATTGCAAAGCTCTGATGGTGTAACAAAAGGCTAGAAGCATCTACACTCCACAAAATCAACTGCATATACACTTATTCTGAACAACCTTTGGAGAGATGTCTCTGAACTACACCGAAATCTTCACTATTGAGAAGAAAACAAGATTTTCGAAACAAATGCTTGCAAGACTGTCAAGACTCGTAAAAATCCATCACCAGCAGTTGACGTGTGTCGTTTACATCTAAAGTAGAGATTACAGAAGAGAACAAACACACTTGAAAGAGGAAATTGAAAGAAATCCCTTCAGAGCCGAAACGAAAAGCGCACTGAAGGCATGCGCTGCGGGCGCGCCGCAGAGGTACCTATGGGAACCTGGCCGGGGTCCACACTATAGCAATAAACGGATTATTTAGACGATACTTTCATCACAACAACACTAGATAGTTGCGCAACTAACCTCATTGTTTCGAAAATCCAGAATTAATCACAAAAACCACTCCATCAATAGTCTACGATGTCTCAGCAAGTCGGAAAGAGCCAAACACTGAAGGTGATTGAGTGCAACCGCACGAAAATTTCAAACATAAACCTGAAAACGAGGAACTTTTAGCAACATAAACGCCAACGCGACGAAGAGCAACGCGGAAAAGGAAAAAACGGTAAAGAAACGCGCAAAAACAACAGAATCAAAGAAACGGCGACTAAAATATGGACAAAGAGCGTAAACAGAGGACTCATCACCGTGGAGTTAGACGTTTGCTTGCTACGCGCCAAATCGATACGCAGCCTGCTCAGGATACCTCCCATTTCTCCGGCGGATACCTCCCATTTCTCCGGCGGATACCTCCCATTTTCTGCTCCGGATACCTCCCATTTTCTGCTCCGGATACCTCCCATTTCTGCTCCGGAGGCCTCCCATTTCTGCTCCGGACCCCTCCCATTTTCTCCGGCGCGACTCCGCCAGATTTGCCAGGCTCGCGCCGGACAAATTTGTCCGGCGCGAGCCTGGCAAATCTGCCAGGGTCGCGCCGGAGAAATGGCGGACCTTTGCAGCAGGGCCGGAGAAGCCTCCCATTTGCCTGGCAGTGATGTCACGCGAGGGACCGCCCATTTGCCCCGCTCTCATTGGTCAATTGGGTCCGGCGCGAGTCTGGCAGTTTCGGCTTGCCCAGCGGAGGGGTCCGATCCATTGTCTGAGTGGGCGGATATAAGTTGTGCGAATCGCTCTCCACCCGCTCATCTCGCTGTGAGACATTTCGTAATCAGAAACGCTTTGTTGCCACCAGCATAGAGCACTACTTACATGTTTGGCTCCGCGATG